GGGGAAATTGGGGGGGGGGGGGATAGGTACTCATGTTTTGAATTCCTTAGCGAGAAGACCATTGACGACGCGTCCTCGAGAGGACGGAGGATTGTTCCTACAGGACAAATCACCGATGGCCAATCGTTCCTGCCTACTTTGCCAAAGGTGGCCCAACAAAAAATCAATATCCTATCGACATCACCTACTGCTTTTTTTTTTGGGGGGGGGGTGTACTCATAGCCGTGCATGCCGTAGTCGTTGGACCATTGGCCTCGCATCCCTCCAAAGCCGAGAGGGAGCACGCCGGGTTTTCACCGAGTCGGGGGGGGGGGGGGGGGCGACTTGCGTGTGGACACGGAAGTGTGGTACTGCAGTGGTATTGGTCAAGCATCCCGACACACGGAAATTGAACAATGTGTACTAAGAGCCCCACGAGAACCCAACAAACTATAAATCGTATGAAAGCTATGAACGGTGCGCCCACTCTTTTGAGCCACAGACAAGTTGGCTTAGCGCTACATTTGGTTTGAAAAGCGGCGGAAACCAAGAAATGTACAGAACAGGCTCAGCTCACCGACATGAGAATTTCCTGTTTGCCTTCCTCGAGGGTGTCCATCTTGTTCAGCACCAGCACGTCGGCGCACTCCACCTGTTCCACCAGGAGGTCGACCACCGCCCTCTGCGCCCCTCCCCCCTCCATCATAGACTGCTGGAAGGCCGGGTCGTCCTCTACACGATGGCGGTAAGGAGGCCGGTATGCGAAGGAGGCGAGAGGGGCACGCTCTCAGTCTGGTTGTCCAATCGGACGTGCTTTCACGGGGTGTATATCAATGCAATATCTGCGAGCGCTGCGGCAGAAACAACAGGCCTCGAAACATGCAAAAACCTCTCCCTCGAAACAGCGGAAGAGTAACATATCATGTGGTACTTGTACATACCGCTGCAGTGTTTTGGGTTTGAAGAAAAAAATAAGAAATATTTTCCTCGTGGTTTGTTGAGTTTCGCTGGGCATTTCGAGAGAACAGTAGGCAGCTGTGTGAGAGCTCTTTGAGCTTGGGAAAACGTCGCAACCAAACTGGAAGCTGGCAGCCAGCTCGTGGCTGGTCCTGCTGCCTTTTCATCTCTATGGCACTGCTGTGCTCTCATGACCCCACCCCCCCCGGAGAGATGCCTTGCACGTAACCAGAAGGTCCGTGTACACCACGCCTTCGAAACACTCTCCCTCGAAACAAGCCACGCCTGAACAACAAATACTCCGCCCGCGCCACCTCCTTCCGCAAAAACACTCTTCGCCTCGCGCATCCCCTACCCCACCCCCCACCCCCTGATCTGTTCCGTCCGCGTGTGCCCCCCCACCTAAAACACCCAGATCGGGGCGGTGCATCATTCTTTCCGAACTGGTGTACGCCTCCAAGAAGGATCCGGCATCCACCACTGTCACCATCGTGTCCATCCGCACCTATCACGAACGCGCAGCCGAAGTCGGGGGGGGGGGGTCCTCATAGTCGTGCATGCCGTAGTCGTTAGACTATTGACCTCGCATCCCTACAAAACGGGGACGGATCACGCCGNGGGGGGGGGGGGGGGGGGTACTCATAGTCGTGCATGTCGTAGTCGTTAGACCATTGAACATGCGTCCTCGAGAGGACGGAGCAGTGTTCCCACAGGACCGATTGCCGATGTCCAATCGTTCCTTCCTACTTTGCCAAAGGAGGCTCAAAAATGTGCTTTCCCTATGCTATCATTATCACTTCCCGACTCTGCAGGCCGTGCAGGTGGGGGGGGAGGGGCGGGGGTCAACCAGCTGCGTTACCCCACCTCACCCTGGGCAAGCCCTAGGGCATCAACCAACCAAACAGCATTACGTACGTAGCGCAACGAGAGCTATCGCCGAGGATGTAACGAACCACAAAAAAACGCCTCCTCTTTCCATTGGCCAGCCGGCTATGTAGCGCCGTCGACACAAACTAAAGAAACTTATACATATGTTGCCCTCCGATCTTCGCATCAGTGGCTTCCCAGCTAGGTTTGGGCAAGAGCATGTGCGGAGCTGTGGTGTATCTGTCTCTGAAACGATTGGGTGGAGAGAAGAGATCCGTTTTGGCGTTCGCATTCAGCGCATTGCGCGTTTTTCGAATTTTGGCCCTCTTCCACGGACCTAAGACTTTCTTACTAGCCGGCACTCAAGTGTTTTCATTGGTCAGCCGGCTACGCCACCAACGCACACACACACTTAGCCTCCCCCATGACGCCCCCTCATAGGGATAGTCCGAGATTATGGCCTTATGATGAATTTCCTGTTTTCACCGCACTGAGATTGACGTCTTTTCATTGGTCAGCCAGTCAGCTCGGTCGATGCCAACAACAAAAGATACATACACACACAGCCGCACTGAGACTGGCGTCTTTTCATTGGTCAGCCGGGTGGGGCGGTAATAAAAAGAACACACACACGCGCGTGGCAAGCTCACCTTTTGCATGAGCGGTATCCCGTACGACTCCGCGTCTTGAAACGTCGAGCGAACGGACTTTGGTTCGGAGATCCCGCTGGACTCGATGACGATGTGGTCGTAAGCGGCGCCCCTCGCCTCAGACCTCTCGACCAGGTGGTTGACAGACACAAAGAGCTCTTCACTCATCGAACTTCAGCATTGTGGCGACCGTCAATGACAAGAAGGATGGACGCCAAAGAAAAGGGGGCAGAGAAAAGGCTGACATGAAGGCCAGAAGACGCAACAAAAGAGGTTATTCGCATGAAATAGGTTGATCGAGGATGCCAATAAAAGGGGAGAGAAAGCCTAGGTGACGCAACAAACGAAAGTGGTACGAGAGGTTGATCAAAAGAGGCACTCCCTACCTGCGACGAAAACAGTAGTCAGCAGAAGCAGAGACCCCAAAATGGTACAGAATACACCCAAGACCAAACACGCATACCAAACACCTGTGACACCAGCATCACCAGTCACCAGAAGCAGTGACCCCCAAAAGGGTGCCTGGTATACCACTATTCGACGAAGGAGCATCGTTCGGAACCGAGTCGGAGCCCCCTCTGTCCCGTGTGGCTACCGCTTTAGGGTTTTGGTTTGGCGCGACTACTGCCGTTTCTACGTGAAATGCCTCCACCCCCCTCTCCCTCGTGTTAATTGGTCAAGCGCCTTGACGGCAAAGTTACACAGCAGTGCCTATCATTGTCGCATGCGTCTACGGGTGCCCAGAACAACAAGCATTGCAAAAGGCCCTTCATGTGGCAACCGTGGAACACCCCCCCCCCC